ACCCTAACGATATAGGAGCAGTTCAGTTTCCCCATGTCCTTAATGTCTGTCTTCTTGATTATAGTCATTCTGATGGGGGTGAGGCAATATCTCATTTTGATTTTGATGTGCATTTCCTTGATGACTAATGACGTTCAGCATCTTTTCACGTTTCTTAGTCATTAGTATATCTTCTTTGGTGAAATGTCTATTCAGATTCTTTGTTCATTTTCACATGGAATTATATATCTTTTTATTATTGAATTTTAAGAATTTATTATATATTTATATTTATTAGATATATGAATTGTAAATATTTTCTCCCAGATATTTTTCTCTGTGGCTTGTCTTTTCATTTTCTTTTTTTTTTTTACGATTTTATTTATTTTTTCATGAGAGACAAGAGAGAGAGGCCAAGACGCAGGCAGAGGGAGAAGCAGGCTCCATGCAGGGAGCCCGATGTGGGACTCCATCCTGGGACTCCAGGATCATGCCCTGGGCTGAAGGCAGATGCTCAACCACTGAGCCACCCAGGTGCCCCATGTCTTTTCATTTTCTTAATAGAATATTTTTTTTCTTTTTTTAAAGATTTTATTTATTTATTCATGAGAGATACAGAGACACAGGCAGAGGGAGAAGCAGGCTCCTTGCAGGGAGCCCGACGTGGGACTCGATCTGGAGTCTCCAGGATCACACCCTGGGCCGAAGGCGGCGCTAAACCCCTAAGCCACCGGGGCTGCCCAATGGAATCTTTTGAAGTACAAGTTTTTAAATTTGATTAAGTTCAATTCATCCTATTTTTTTTTCTTTTATAGATCATGCTTTTATGGTGTCACATCAAGGAAAGGCAAATATTAATATCTCTTTTTAGAGAATTATGAGATTTGCTTTATTCTCCATTTAGTGATCAGATCCATTTATTGTGTGAGCTTTGTTGAATGTGTAAGGCCTTGCCTCTGGGTGATGATCACATTGTTCCTGCCTCTTCTAAATGGCTGTTACTAATGAGGCAATATAGTATTGATCAAAAGTGTAGACTTTGTGGCTTGACTGCTTGGGTTTGAATTTTAGCTTCATCTCTTACTAGCAGTATTACTTTGGGAAAGTTATTTTACTTCTCTGTGCCTCAATTTCCTCATCTGTGAAATGGGGATAATATATCTTTCCTCATAGGGTATTTGTCTATGTAAAGTGCATAGGAAATGCCTGGAACAGAATAAGGGCAAAAAAAAAAAATACTAGCTCTTATTATGAAGGAAGCAATTCTCAACTGTAGTTTGGAATGAAGTTATGGATGGATTTTGGAATTTTGGAATCATTTGAGGGGCATTTAAACACTTTGCATGCCTTTCTAAAATGACCGGTCCTGCCACAGGTTAGAGCAGCTGGGGTGATAAACATTGCACTTAGCCTTCCTTGACACATTTACAACTGATTGTTCCTTAAAATCACTTTAATTAAATGAGGCAATTTGAGTTGATGTGTAGAATCACAAAATTCTCCATCAGTTATAAAAATAACTCAAACTCCATTAACACTTAGAAAATGAATAATCTATTAACTCCTGTTGCCAACGCAAAAATTAGGCAGTCTTAGGCAAGCCAAGAACAGAATGTAAGCTATCTGTGTTTGATAAATTCATTTCTTTGCCTTTGGGGTAGTTTATTAATCCAGAGATCAGATTATGGAACCAGAACTTGGCAATGCAACGTAGGATTTGTGCTTTGCTTTTGCTGGAGGAGAAGATTCTTAACTTTTTTCTTGTCTTCATTTGCAGAATGAACATAATGAAACTTGAGACCTACTTAGCTTCAAAAGGGATTCGTGATCTGATATGGGCCTAGTATCAGTATACTTTTTTTTTTTTTAAAGATTTTGTTTATTTATTCATGAGAGACACAGAGAGGGAGCCAGAGACACAGGCAGAGGGAGAAGCAGACTCCTTGCAGGGAGCGCAATGGGGAACTCGATCCCTGCACCTGGGATCACGCCCTGAGCTGAAAGCAGACTTTCAACCGCTGAGCCACCCAGGCATCCCTAGTATCATAATTAAAGAATTTGTATAACTCAACAACAAATGGGCAAAGAATTCGCATAGATATTTCTCCGGAGGAGGTATCCGACAAGGACATGAAAAGATGTTCAACATCATAGGTCAACAGGGAAATGCAAATCAAAATACATTGAGGTAACATGTCCTACTCAGTAGAATGGCTATAATAAAATTTTGAAAGGAAAGTAGTAAGTGTTGGCAAAGGTGGAGAGAAATAGGAACCCTTATACAGCTGCTAAGAATGTAAAATGATTGAGATGTGGAAAACTGGTGATTCCTCAAAAAATTAAGCATTAAAATTACTATGTAACCCAGCAGTTCCAGTCTTAGGTATATACCCAAAAGAACTGAAAACATGGCAACACAGAAACTTGTACATGAATGTTTATAGCAGCATTATGCGTAGTAGCCATGAGATGGTAGCAAACCAAATGGCCATTAAAGGTGAATGAATAAACAAATTATGTTATATATACACAATGGAATATTATTCAGCCATAAAAAGGAATGAAGTACCAATACACGGTATAACTTGGATGGACTTTCAGTTAACATGCTAAGTGAAAAAAGTCGGGCACAACAGTCATATATTGATTCCTTTTATATGCTATATCCAGAATAGATAAATCCAAAGAGACAGAAAGCAAATTAGAGGTTACCAGGGGATGAGTGATGTGGAATGGAGAATGATTAATGATTATGGAGTGTTTTTATGGGGTGAAAAAGTTTTGAAACTAAAAAGGACTGATGGTTGCACAACATTGTGAATACAGTAAATATCACTAAATTGTACACTTTAAAATGGTTAATTGTATGTTAAGTGAGTTGCACTTCAATTGTTTTTGAAAAGGGAGATTTATGAGTCTATTTACTATTTTGGCTACCCAGACACAAATGTTTTGAAGTGCAAGGAATAAGGAATGATGAAAAAGGATAACTATATTTGATGTGGCAACTCCAGTGTCTGGATATCTCTCCATATTCATTTTTCATTCTTCTCTCTGCTTGGGAGAATTTATTCTTAAAACATAATATTTTACCTGAAAATACTGTACTGTCTGCTAAGATAGAAACGGTGTTTTTTTTTTGTTTGTTTTAGATTTTATTTATTTATTCATGAGAGACACAGAGAGAGGCAGAGACATAGAGGAAGAAGCAGACTTCTTGAAGGGAGCCCGATGTAGGACTCCATCCCCAGACCCGGGTTCAAGCCCTGAGCCCAAGGCAGATGTTCAACCACTGAGCCACTCAGTTATCCCAGAAACAGAGGTTTTTTTTTGTAGAGAGTATATTGTTCTTTGGGGAATCCCGTCAAAGAAAAAATCCCAGTTGCTCTGGGCCTTACAGAGCTGGTAAAGGAGCAAAAGATATTATTAGAGCCTACATTTAGAAGGCATTCTGTTTCCCCCAGCATGCCATTCTATCAGGCTACCAGTTCCTTTTCAAAAAAATTTATTTCATTGAGGTGAATTTCACATAACACAAAATCAGCCATTTTTTTTAAAGGTTTTATTTATTTATTCATGAGAGAGACAGAGAGAGAGAGAGAGAGAGAGAGAGAGGGAGGCAGAGACATAGGCAGAGGGAGAAGCAGGCTCTGTGCTGGGAACCTGACGTGGGACTCGATCCCAGGTCTCCAGGATCACGCCCTGGAAAGTGGCGCTAAACCACTGAGCCACCCAGACTGCCCCCCAAATCAGCCATTTTAAAGGGAATGATGCATTGGCATTTTGTGCACTTACAGAGTTATGTAACTATGAGCTCTGTATCACTTTGAAACATTTTCATCACCCCAAAAAGAAATCCTGTACCCATTAAGCATATGCTTGCCAGCATTTGTTATTTTCTACTTTTTTATTATAGCCAGCCAAATTGGTATGAAATGGTACCTTATTGTGGTTTTCATTTGCATTCTCCTTAATGCCTAATGAAGTCGAACATCTTCATGTGCTTATTGGCCATTTGTATTTCTTCTTTGGAATAATGTCTACTCAAGTTCATTTTTTCTTTCCTTTTTTCTTTCCTTTTTTCTTTCTTTCCTTTCTTTTTTCTCCTTTTTTTTCTTTTCTTTTCTTTCTTTTTCTTTTCTTTCTTTTTCTTTTCTTTTCTTTTCTTTTTTTTCCTTTCTTTCCTTTCCTTTCCTTTCCTTTCCTTTCCTTTCCTTTCCTTTCCTTTCCTTTTCTTTTCTTTTCTTTTCTTTTCTTTTCTTTTCTTTTCTTTCTTTCCTTTTCTGCAGAAGGAGAGGGAAAGAGAGAATCTTGGCCAGGGTGAAGCCCAAGGTGGGGCTCGATCTTACAACCCTGAGATCATGACCTGAGCCGAAATCAAGAGTTGGATGCTTAACTGACTGAGCCACCCAGGCACCCCTCAAATTCATTTTCTATTTTAAAAATTGAATTCTTTGTTTTTCACTTGTGGAATGCATTCTTTATATATTATGGATATACACCCTTAACAGAAACATGATTTGCAAATATTTCTGTGATTCTGTAGGTTGTCTTTTTACTTTCTGATAGGTTGTCTTTTTACTTTCTTGATAGTGTTGATACACAAAAGTTTTTAATTTAGGTGAAGTCTCATTTATCTATTTTTGTCTTCTGTTGCCCATTCTATTGATTAATATCTAAGAATCTATTGCCAAGTCCAGGGTCATAAAGATTTTCCCCTAAGAAAACTCTTCTAAGAGTTTTATGGTTTTAGCTCATATGTTTAGGTCATTGATCCATTTGATGTAATTTTATATATGGTATGAGGTATGGGTCCAACTTCATTTTTTTGCATGTGGTTATTCAGTTGTCCTAGAATTATTTGTCGAGGAGATTCTTCTTTCTCCATTAAATTGTCTTGGCATCTGGCTGAAAAATCAGTTGGTCATAGATGTGTGGGCTTATCTCTGGACTCTAAATTCTCTCCCTGCCATTTACTTTTGTGTGGGCTGAGTTTCTTGTTTTTCTCCATTTGATAACAGGATCATGGGGTTGATAGCACCATTTTCCAGAATCCCAAAAAACTTCACCTAACCATTGGGATGTTGGTGCTTTTGAGTGAACAAGAGATCCAGCAGACATGTGAGATGCTACAGCAGTGTAAACAGGAATTCATTGAGTAAGTAATCTACAGGAAAGGGGAAGGCTGGTCATCTTTTACTGGCCTCTCTTTGGTATCACAGACTTGGTTTTGCACTTAGGCAAACTTGTTTTTGTCATACGGTAACAAGGTTTGTTGACTCACCCAGTTGTACTTAACATTGGACCAGTGTCCGAAAGGCTTAAAATGGATTTAAAGCAAAAATTAAAAATTTTTATGGAAAGACTTTATACTAGTTTAGTAGGCAAATTTTGTTATTAACAGGACATCCCATTATTTTCTTTGAAAGGAAATTTTCTTCATTATGTATTGAACGGTATGGGATACTGTACTAGTGTTTTGTGCTGCTTAACACATTACAATCTTGGTGGCTTAGAACAATGAAGATTTATTATCTTATAGGTCTGTGGGGGTAGTCTGATATGGGTTTCACTAGGCTTAAAGTGTCAGCAGGGTTGTTTTCCTATCTGGGGGTTCAAAGGAAGAGTTTATTTCCTTGCTTTTATTTTTTATTTTTTTATTTTAAAAAAATTTTTTTTTTATTTCCTTGCTTTTAAAGCCCATCTTCTGTGGTATACGTATACAATGGAATATTACTCAGCCATTAGAAACGACAAAAAAAAAAAAAAAGAAAGAAACGACAAATACCCACCATTTGCTTCGACGTGGATGGAACTGGAGGGTATTATGCTGAGTGAAATAAGTCAATCAGAGAAGGACAAACATTATATGGTCTACTTCATTTGGGGAATATAAAAAACAGTGAAAGGGAATAAAGGGGAAAGGAGAAAAAATGAGTGGGAAATATCAGAAAGAGAGACAGAACATGAGAGACTCCTAACTCTGGGAAAAGAACGAGGGGTGGTTGAAAGGGAGGTGGGCGGGGGGTGGGGGTGACTGGGTGACGGGCACTGAGGGGGGCACTTGATGGCATGAGCACTGGGTATTATGCTATATGTTGGCAAATTGAACTCCAATAAAAAAATTAAAAAAAAAAAGCCCATCTTCTTGAGGCTACACCCACATTCTTTGGCTAGTCACCCCCTTCCTCTATCTTTGTCAGTAGCAGCTTTTTAGCACTCTGACCCATTTATCTCTGTGATAAAGTTATCACATACTGGCCATAGTAGGGACAGGTTCACTGCTTTTAAGGACTGTGATTTGATGGAGCCCACCCAGATAATTCAGGATAATCATCCCGTCTCAAACTCCTTAACCTTAATCACATCTGCAAAAGTCTGTCTGCCCTGTAAGATAGCCTATTTACAAATTCCAGAGAATAAGACGTGAATGTCTCTGGAGGGCCATTATTCTGTTACCACAATAACTCGAACATACAACACGATTTCTTACAAAGGTCTTCATTGTATTTCAAGAAATGCACCTTAATTTTCTTTTTTAAATAAGGTAGTTTTGTAAGATACCTATAACTGTTCAAGTAGTCTCTTTGGGTTCCAGGAAAACATTGCTATTCTGGGGGCAGAGTTGTTATTCTTTTTACTATAAATTTATTTTTTTATTTGTTATTTTTTTATTTATGATAGTTACACACCGAGAGACAGAGAGGCAGAGACACAGGCAGAGGGAGAAGCAGGCTCCATGCACCGGGAGCCCAACGTGGGATTTGATCCTGGGTCTCCAGGATTGTGCCCTGGGCCAAAGGCAGGTGCTAAACCACTGCGCCACCCAGGGATCCCTACTATAAAATTTTAATTTACGTGTACATGTGACCTAACAGCTTTATTTAAAGAATCATCTTCCCTACTCTTTACTCCTTTTTCTTAAGATTGATGAAGAATAAGAGAAACTTGAAAACTGACTCATTTGAAGAGGATTTTTAAAATTCAGTTATAATATTCAGGTCCCGTACTATTTTAATATGGCCTTGTAGAAATGGGTTCCCTAGTTCATTCGATAAGACGAGGTAAAAAGGATTTAAAAATTTTTATGTATATTATATATGAAACTGTGTAATATAATGACATGTGGGCCATTTCTCCTTTTCCATTGTTTTGAAGATAAGATATTTTTTGGGACCCCTGGGTGGCTCAGTGGTTGAGCGTCTGCCTTTGGCTCAGGGAGTGATCCTGTGATCTTGGGATCGAGTCCCACATTGGGCTCCCTGCATGGAGCCTGCTTCTCCCTCTGCCTCTGTCTCTGCTTCTTTCTTTGTGTCTCTCATGAATAAATAAGTAAAATCTTTAAAAAAAAAAATAAAAGATATTTTTCTTGAGCAAAATCATGAGCTGATGGAGTTTGGAGTCTGCAAAGAATACTTCTTTGTCTTGATCTTTGCTCACTGATGGATATAAATGTTTTCTCTCTGTCTTAATCTAAAATTCAAAATAATTGTTTGAAAATTAAATATTTACAATTTCCTTATGTAAGATAAAACTTTATACCTTACCTCACAAAGCAGAACAATGTTACCTGGTTTAAGAGTAAGTCCTGATACTTTATTTCCAGATAGTTTTTTATTAAATGAAACTGAAAGCAGCTGCATTTTCTTGACTGCCATTGGGATAATCTTGCTAAGAAGTTGTTTCAGGGTAGATAAAATATTTGTTTAGGGAAGTTTTTTTTTTTTTTAACCTATGAAAATCAGGTCACAGGGTTTTAATCACTGAAGCTTTATCCTGAGCTATGTGAGGATTTAACTGAGTTCCTCTCTTTTATGTCTCTTGGTGCCTTTTGTGGCTAAATGCCAAATCTGAGTCCTTTTAAGCATGTCAGGGTTCGTGTGCATAGGAAATGAAGAGCAGCCTTAATAGTTCCTAAGAATTTTTGACATGACAGGATGAAAACAGTAATTGTAGTTTTTCAAATTCAGCAAAGCTTTTGAAATAGGACAAAGTTACACTGCCAAAAATCTGCAGTGCAGGCAAAAATTTTTTGAAGATCCTTTTTTCAAAAGCTGGAAAGATTCAAAACCAGCAAGTAGAGTAAGCCTCCCCAGGCCTCTTCTTCCACCTTCTCCTCTGCCACATTTACTCTCTTAAAAAGTATATAGTGCAAAATTAATTTATTTCTGAGGAGAAGGAGAATCAGAATTGGCTGTTTAGATGGATTAGAAGTGCCTTGTTTCCCTAAAAGGAAAAAAATATCTCCTACAAAAAGAACCACATATATACATACACATGAATACACACATGCACACCACACTTATAGCCCTGGTAAGTAAAATGTATTATTTAACTTTTTTTTCCTACATTACTGTTCTACTTTTTATTTATTTATTTATTTATTTATTTATTTATTTATTTATTTATTTATTATTTATTTATTTATTTATTCTGTTCTACTTTAATCTCAGCCTTTGTGCTTGGTATACTTAGAAAGACTCAGTAAACGGCATTGTTGATCTCAACCTTTTGTGTTGTAAAGATCCCAAATTAAAATAAAAGAAAGGAAAACATTGAAATTGAATAGACTAATATATACTTCACTGGCTTTTTATTTTTTATTTTAAAAATTATTTATTTATTTATTACTCATGCGAGACACAGAGAGAGAGAGGCAGAGACATAGGCAGAGGGAGAAGCAGGCTCTACGCAGGGAGCCCAACGCGGGACTCGATCCCAGGTCTCCAGGATCATGCCCTGGGCCGAAGGCAGCGCTAAACCGCCAGGCCACCAGGGCTGCCCTTCACTGGCTTTTTAAATTGAAATATTAAATAAATGGGGCTAAGTTCAGATTTAATGAAACCTGTAGTGCTATATACAGATTTTAAAGAAATGGGTAGTTGAATATTTGTTTTTTTGGGGTGTTTTTTGTTTTTAAGGGATGTTATCTGATCAGAAACAGAACTTTGGGGCAGCCCAGGTGGCTCAGCGGTTTAGCGCCGCCTTTGGCCCAGGGCCTGATCCTGGAGACCCTGGATCGAGTCCCACATCAGGCTCCCTGCACGGAATCTGCTTCTCCCTCTGCCTGTGTCTCTGCCTCTCTCTCTGTGTTTCTCATGAATAAATAAATAAAATATTAAAAAAAAGAAAGAAACAGAACTTTGATTTCAGTTCTTAAGCTAACGGCTCATGTAGCTCTATCGATTTTGAATGAATTATTCAGTGTCCAGTAAACGCCGAAGCTTTAAATGTATCCCTTGTGACTTTTCTTTGTGAGATGTAGAACACAAACAGTGCAGTGGCTCTAAGTAGATAGTCTGACAAATATGCAGTACTTCTTAGTTCCAGTATCACTCTTCTTGTACCTAAATGTTCCCCATAAGCCTGAGGTAGCACCAAATAGTAAGGTAAAGCAGGACAAGAGCGAGGAGGGAAGAGGAAAAAATACCCACGGACCAGTGTTTGGTTCCTAATCATTGCCTCAGATGTCATTCAGTTGAAGAGTATGCTCACTGGTGTCCCAGGTGGAACAGTTTTGTCTGATGACAAAGAGCACCAGGCAAACCACTGAATTTCTCTCCCTCTTGGTAAATCCTAGGGAAGGTTGAAAGAGTTTCTGTTCCTGCTCCAAAGGCAGGCTTTAGATCCTGTTTCATGGTTCCATTTTTTGTTGTTCTTGATACCCCATCTCATTCTAAAGATTTGAGGTAGTTTGTAATGAGGACATAGATACGAAAGAGAATGTTAAAGTCAGGGAGCTCAGAAACCGTAAAGATGGGATGGGGAGAAAATGTTTACCTGAAAACCAAGGAAATGTTCTAATTGTACTTGAACATTAGAATTTAGTAGTTTTCTGGCAGCCCCATTGACTTAGTGGTTTGGTGCCACCCTTGGCCCGGGGTGTGATCCTGGAGACCGGGGATTGAGTCCCACGTTGCGCTCCCTGCATGGAGCCTGCTTTTCCCTCTGTCTGTGTCTCTGCCTCTCTCTCTCTCTCTGTCTCTCATGAGTAAATAAGTTTAAAAAAAATCTTAAAAAAAAAGAATTTAGTAGTTTTCAAGTACTGGTATACTTGAACTGTATTCCACAAACACATCGATTATTACAGTTCTTTCTGATAAAAAGGACCATAGCAATTTTTTTTAGGAAAGAATCCTTTGCTTGTTCTTTTTTTTTTTTTTAAGGATTTAATTTATTTATTCATGAAAGACACAGGAGAGAGAGAGAGAGAGACAGAGACAGAGACACAGACAGAGGGAGAAGCAGGCTCCATGCAGCGAGCCTGATGTGGGACTTGATCCCGGGTCTCCAGGATCACACCCTGGGTTGCAGGCGGCGCTAAACCGCTATGCCACCGGGGCTGCCCCCTTTGCTTGTTTTTAATGCAAGAAAAACTTGTCATGTAAATATTAACTCAAAATGATGATGAGCAGTGTCTTCAGGAATTTTGCAGAAGATACAGTGGTTCATATGGTTCTCTCTTGTATTGATCCCTAGAATTTGAGGTTATAACATTAGACATAATCCAGTAAAAACATATTAGGGGGAAACTAAACCAATGGTATGGTGCTTTTGGGTGATCTAACTATGCAGAGTTAGGACCCCCCCACCACGTCCTCCCTCTTGGCCCCCCCTATGTATAGTTAGTACTAAACTGTTTTTCTCATGTAAGTTTGGTTGACTGCACTTTGATAGGATTGAATGGCAGTCTTTCATATTGAATTCTTTGGCTGTTACTTGAAAAGGAGATGTGTTGTTGGTTAAAGCTACAGGCCTTGGGTAAAAGTGCAGAACTTGGCTTATGTTTTGGAATATCCCACTTATTAGAGGTGGTAATAGGGATTCTTATGATGAAGGCAATTTTTCTTGAATATCTGTCCAAAATATTTAGTTTCTTACTGAAAGAGATTCTATCTTGTGCAATAATATGGTTTTGAAGTTTTAGGGAAATATATATTTTTTTAAAGATTTTATTTATTTGAGAGAGAGAAAGCTTGAGCAAGGTTGGGGAAGGCAGAGTGAGAGGTAAAAGCAGACTCCCCACTAAGCAGAGAGTCCAACGCAGGGCTCCATCCTAGGACCCTGGATCATGACCTGAGCTGAAGGCAGATGTTTAACTGACTGACCCCCCCCCAAGTGCCCCTAAGAGAATCTTTGCCATGAAGATTCCTAGGCTACAAAGGGTCTTTGTATGGCTTTGGTTCAATATAAAAATAACATTTTTGTTACCGGAGATCTATGGAGTACCTATTTTATATAAGACTGTGCCAGGTGCTGGGGATATAGGAATAGACAAGATGGATGGACTCCCTGGCCTCATGAGGCTTGCAGAAGACTATGTGTGGTGAGCTGATTTTTAGCTAGGTTTCATCTTGGCACTGCAGGGCCATTTCTGGCTGAAGCTTGAGTCTGTTTAAGGCATCTGGGAAGAAGCAGGATGGTAAGGTTTTACTTAACAGAAAAGTAATACATGCACATGTGAAACTAATATAATGTATCTCAATTATACATCAGTTAAAATGAGGTAATAATGTATTAGTTTTGGAGAAGTCAAAATTGCAGATAAACAAGTATATCGCTTTTAATCCTACCACTAAAGATGACTATTAACGATCTCACACTTGTTTATATGCATGTGTGTAGTTTTTTCTTTAAGGTGTAATTTACTTACAGTAAAATGCACAGATCTTAAGTGTAGTTGATGAGTTTTAACAAACACCTACACTCACGTAACTTCAGCCAAATCAAAATGTAGTACATTGTCATCACTCTGCAGTTCCCTCGTGACCTTTTCCAAAAAATTCACTTCTCCCAGAAATAATTGTTGTTCTGATTTCTATTTCTATAGATTAATTTTGCTTGTTCATGAATGTCATATAAATAAAATCATTCAGTATATACATTTTTGTGTTTGGCTTCTTTTGTATCTGTGCAGTATAAAAAGTTGTGTTTGGCTTCTTTTGCTTCTATATTTTTATATTAGCTTTTTAATAGGTAATACACTTATATGGTTCAAAAATTTTTTTATTTTTATTTTTATTATTTTTATTATTTTTAAAGATTTTATTTACTCATGAGAGACACAGAGAGAGAGGCAGAGACACAGGCAGAGGGAGAAGCAGGCTCCATGCAGGGAGCCCGACATGGGACTCAAACCCAGGTCTCCAGAATCAGGCCCTGGGCTGAAGGCAGCACTAAACCCCTGAGCCACCTGGGCTGCCCGGTTCAAAATTTTAAAGATAAATCGTTAGCAACAATTTGGCAATATTTATAAAAATTCTTCAAGAATAGGGACGCCTGGGTGGCTCAGTGGTTGAGTGTCTGCCTTTGGCTTAGGTCATGATCCCAGGATCCTGGGATCAGGTCCTGCATCGGGCTCCCAGAGGAGAGCCTGCTTCTCCCTCTGCATATGTCTCTGCCTCTCTCTCTCTGTGTCTCTCATGAATAAGTAAATAAAATATTTTTTTAAAAAGTCTTCAAGAACAGACAACCTTTTTTGTCTCAGTAGTTCAATTTCTAGGAGCCAAACCTAAGGAAATATGAATTTAGCTACATACTCAACCATAGCTGATAAAGGAAAGCTCTTTACAGAAGAATTCCAACTGGTAAATGTAGAAGTTATGATGAAATTAGAACATCACCATTTTGCAACCCCTGACAAAATAATGGATAAAGACAATGATTAGCAATGGCTGTTAAGATTTTTTTTTTAAGATTTTGTTTATTTATTCATGAGAGACACAGAGAGGCAGAGATATAGGCAGAGGGAGAAGCAGGCTCCATGCAGAGAGCCTGATGCGGGACTGTGACTCCAGGACCACACCCTGAGCCAAAGGCAGATGCTTAACCACCCAGGCATCCCAGCTGTTAAGACTTAATGGCAAAAGTCTATATATATATATATATATATATATGTAGATATATATATATATATATATATTTTTTAAAGATTTTATTTATTCACGAGAGACACAGAGAGAGAGATAGAGGCAGAGACACAGGCAAAGAGAAGCAGGCCCCATGCAGGGAGCCTGACACGTGACTTGATCCCGGGTTTCCGGGATCACACCCTGGGCTGAAGGTGGCGCTAAACCGCTGAGCCACCAGGGCTGCCCGCAAAAGGCTATATTTTTATAAATATTGCCAAATTGCTGCTAAAGATGTGCTACTACTTTATGCCTCCACGATTGTTAGATGAGTAAAATGGTGTTTGCAGCTTGTGGAAATAATGAAATAAAACCCAAGAGATGAGCAACACAGTAAATGTCTTTGTTAGTCAGAACTGTCATTTCTTGACGTTTTCCTCTAAGTACTGATAAACTGGTATTGAGTAACTATAGGGCGAGTTTGGGAATTCTTGTGTTTCTAGTTGGTGTGCACAGAATGTGTTAATTTTGAAATTAGAAGGATGATTAGATAATATTGTTAGCAAAAGAAAAAAACCCCAGCAATTCCATTTTTGTAATATTTGACTTTGTATAATAACTATGTTTAAAATATAATGGCCCTCTCAGCTTAAACAGTTACAAAAATCTAATGTTTTTTCCGTTGCAGTGACATTTCTGGGGGCAAACCCCTAGAAGTAGAGATGGCAGGGATAGAATACATGAATGATGATCCTGGCATGGTGGATGTTCTTTATGCCAAAGTCCATATGAAAGATGGCTCCAACAGGTATGTTTCTGGAATGCTTTTTTGCTTTTATCAAGAGGTTCCTAAAAAAAAAATTCCTAGAAGTTCAGCGAGTTTTGATTCCTTTTCTTTGCGATCTTATGATTGTAAAAAAAAAAAAATTCTTTCTTTTTTTAAAATAGTAAGCTGATATCATTTATTTATTTATTTATTTATTTATTTATTTATTTATTTATTTATTTATGATAGTCACAGAGAGAGAGGCAGAGACACAGGCAGAGGGAGAAGCAGGCTCCATGCACCGGAAGCCCGATGTGGGATTCGATCCCGGGTCTCCAGGATCGCACCCTGGGCCAAAGGCAGGCGCCAAACTGCTGCGCCACCCAGGGATCCCGTAAGCTGATATCTTAAAAGAGGAATTAGTTGTTGGAAAAAGTATCAGATTTTAATTGATAGTTATTGAGTTACTTTGGTGGTAGATATTGATTATAACAATCTAGTTTTTATGAGCTCAGTGCTTTCTTCATGTTTTTCAGGGTAATAGGAAGCAGGAAGGATGGCCTTTTAGGATAGTAGTTGGAAAAGTGACATAATACCTGTCTAGTGATTACCAGGACAAAGTGGGAATGAGGGATGCCTGGGTGGCTCTGTGGTTGAGCGTCTGCCTTCCAGCTCCGGCCATGATCCTGGAGTCCCCAGATGGAGTCCCACGTCAGGCTCCCTGCATGGAGCCTGCCTCTCTGCCTATGTCTCTGCCTCTCTCTCTTTCTCTCTGGGTCTCTCATGAATAAATAAATAAAATCTTAAAAACAACAACAAAAAAACAAAGTGGGAATGATAACTACACAAACTCTGTAAGGCTTTTAGGTAAGTTAATCTACATGAATACTTAGAACAGTGCTTAGTGCATATAAACATCATCAAAACACACATCAAATGTTTACTGTTTTTTACCTGTGTTATTACCACACTTAGATCACTTATAAGGATTCTCAGTTTGCAACCCAGGCTATTTCTGAGGCTAGTCTAGGCATCCAGAGCCATTTCCAAGGTTAATAACACCATTTATTAGTCTAGTCAAGGTCTTCAGTGAGCAGAGGAGCCAAACTTGAATTGGAAGTTTGTTTTTGTGGTCTTTTTATTAAGACAGCATAGAACAGAGCTCATGCTGAACCAGGAACCTTGTAGAGAAAATCAAAGTCTCTAGGCAGGCCCCCAAGTTGATTTGCTTTTGTAGAGGATCCCTTGTAAGGTTTCTCAGCTCAAATTGATTATCTCAATTATCTCCTATTTCAATTCAGTTGGAAGTGAATTTTTGGAGGAAGGTAGGAAGAGATGGTATAGAATCAAATGTTGTATGTATTTTGGACCAGATTTGTCTCTTCATAGATACCTGGCATGTGCTAAAATAGCATACTAATGACCTTGCCTTAAAATACAGGGGCACATTGTTCCTATGGGATATCCTAAAACATTTCTGCCAGGTTGGAATTTGATATCTAGTATGGATTACTTACTTTGTGTTGTAAGTTATAACTATTCCAAATGTCTTCACCATGTTATAGGGCTGCTATATAAGGGGCAGATTACTTTTCAGTTTTGTGAACAAAAACAGTGAATGATAAGGTAATCTCAAACTTTTTGACCACATAATCACTTTCATTTCTTAATTATTGAGGATACCAAAGAGCCTTTCTTTATATGGGTAATAGTTATCAATATTTACCTTATTAGAAGTTAAAATTGCGAAATTTAACATTTGATAGTTCATTAAAAATAGTAAGATATTTTTTGTTTATATAAATAACATATTTTTCATTAAAAAAATCTATTTTCCAAACCAAAAATATTTAGTGAGAAGATAGGCATTGTTTAACATTTTTGTAAATTTCTGTAATAGAAGACAGTTGGGTTCTCATATCTGCTTCTCTATTGAGTGTATTGCAGTATGTTGTTTTGATTGAAGTATACAAGAAAATCTGGACTCACACAGAAATGTATTTGGAAAAACGAAGAGTACTTTAATGGTATTTTCAGACAATGTTGGCTATTTGGTACTACACTAAAACTTGACAAGTTACAAGTTACATTGAAAAGGTCATTTGCAATGTGAAATCAGAAACCAGATCAGTTAACATTTCATACACTTGCCTTAAAATCTGTTGGTCTCTTTTGCATTTTGAGTGGATCTTTAACCTATGCACAGTTTTATATTGGTCATTTAGAAAATATTGGTTTACTGAGTTATGGAGGTCTTCCAAATGTTGTCACATTTCATTATGCAATATATATTTTTTCATTATGCAATATTAAAAATGTATTACTCGCACTCTAATTTCATCATAATCTTTAAGTATTAGGAAGCTGCTGTCAACCTCATGGTGGCAGATACAGATTTTCTAAAAATTCTAATTTTCACTTGAAAGCTTGAATTTTATTATTGGCCCAAAATACTGTTTTTCTTGAAGTTCTTTTTTGAGAAAATGTCTGTCAAATAACCAAGTCTGAATAACCATAATTTGTCTGTCAGTCGTTCTTTCAAATACAAATGGTGTTCATGGACAAAGAGGCTAGTTCAGCTCCAGCTCTAACAATCTCACAAGTGCTTTTCCTCCAGACAACCATCTACTTTGGTATACAGCCGAACTGCTTTATACATACTATCATTTTTATCACACAAGGATATTAAAAAGGCATGTACTTAAGGCCTGGGATTTAATAAAATTGATTATTTTTACTGTTTCATCAAGGATAAATAAAATTGGGACACCTGGGTAGCTCAGTGGTTGAATGTCTGCCTTCGGCCCAGGTTGTGACCCTGGGGTCCTGGGATCGAGGCCCACATTGAATTCCCCTCGGGGACCTGCTTCTCCCTCTGCCTATGTCTCTGCCTCTCTCTGTCTCTCATGAATAAATAAATAAAATCCTAAAAAAAAAAAAAAAGGATAAATGAAACTAGGTTTGTTTTTTTTTTAAACTGTGAATGTGTAGGGAAGAATATACTACTGCTAGTACAATTTGATGCTCCTGTCTTCATTCATGCTAAGATGCCAATAGTTTTACCCAGCATTGCTTTTGCACTGTCCATGTGAATGTCATTACAGTGAAAAAGGCAAATAATGTCATACAATTATTATAAATATAGTTTTGACTTCATAGACTCCCCTCAGAAAGTCTCAGGTACCTTCAAAAATCCACAAGCCTTTGATCTAGGTAACGTTTTATTTCTAACATTGAAGATTGCATAGTTTCTAGGGAAATTATAACTAACTTGTTTCACAGTTACTCTTACCTGGCACTGTGCTTAGATTGTATTATCCCCATTTTATCTTTGCAAGATCTGTGTAAGATAGATGCTATTAGTATGCCTATTTTATAGATAGGGAGGTTCAGAGAGTTTAAGTAGTTCAGCTAAGGAATGCGGAGACAGCAAAACCACGCTCTGCATCTCTGTGTAAGAATAAAGGTTTTCAGTGTGTGTATGCTAGGTTAAGTAGGATAGACTATGTTTCATTTCTTATTTCTTGAGTAAAATGGAAAGTTGTGATGTACTTTTTTTTTGAAAGTGGTAAAATTCACATAACATAAAAAATCACTATTTCAACCATTTTAAAGTATACAATTTTGTGGCATTAAGGACATTAACAACGTGTGCAACTATCACCACTGTGTAGCTCCAGAACATTTTAATCACCCCAAAAGGAAATCCTGTATGCATTAACCAGTCACTCCCCATTCTTCTACACCCCTCTTTTCTGCCCTCCCCAGTTCCTGGCAGACATTAGTCTACTGACTGCCTCCATGGATTTGCCTATTGCGGGTATTTCTTATAAATGGAATCACATAATATGTGGCCTTTTATGTCTGGCTTCTTTCACTCAGCATAATGTTTTTCGAGGTGTATCCATGTTGTAGCATGGATCAGTACCTTGTTCCTTTTTAAGGCTGAGTGACATTTCATTCATTGTATGAAGAGACCACATTTTTGTTTATCCATTCATGGACATTTGGGTTGTTTCCACCTTAACTATTGTGAATAGAGCTGACTTCAATTCTTATGGGCTGACTCACTTTTAAAATGTATCAAAGTTTTTATTTTCTTGATTAACCTTGTAGTTTTATAGGGCTTCATAGCCACTCTGCCTGACCTATGTTTGTTTGTTTCCTTATTATCTATTACGGGATTTATTTAATTTCTGTTCATACTAGTTTAAACCTTACTGTTATAAATCTGAAATCTTGATGGCCTATAGATATATATACAGCTAAAACATGAAGCTATATGGAAAATTTAGATAGGATTACAGCATTTCATTAAATAAAATAGTGAATTCTTCCTAATCTCTGGCTTCAAGTCTGCTTTAACATACATATATCACAGACTCCACAGTTTTTATTTACTCTATTCTTGGTGGCCTCCAGAGGGAAAAAGAGAGGTCAGTGGGAAGAGATAATAAAATCATTACTTTGAGTTTGTCCATTGGGTATCTTTACCTTTTGTTTTAATGGTTAGATCCTTGGTTCTGTAGAAGGTCTTTAAGGGTCAAGATTAATAGGTTTTTGAGATTGGAAGAAAATAAGAGCTATAGAAGCTAGATGGCTTTTGAAGACAGTGCTCAGATAATTGGTACCCACATTAATGGAACAGGGAGTACTTCAAAGGTGAATATACCCTTATTTCCCCCATAGATCCAGACCTTACAAATTTTGCACACTGACTGTTGTCAAGGCTTTGTAAATTGAAAGGTCTTATGAGATATCTACTGAATCCACTTGTGCGATCAACCAAGAACATTTATGAGTAATTCCCATCTCTCTTACTGCTCTATTTATTTTTCTGTTGCCTAGCCCTCTTTCACAAGGAGAGACATGTGTATGTTGTTTCAAAAACGATTTGTAAATTTCCCTCCTCAAATTTGTGGGAATTACTAAGAAATTTAAGCACCTCTTATTTAATTCAATTTTAAAACTATTTGAATGCCTCCTTTGTGCAAGGTATTTTGGAAGGCTGTGCAAATTGATACAGAAAGGAACATTAAATC